ATGGCACCTAGTCAAGCAAGAGGGTCAGGAATGAATCTCAATGGGAAGTTGAAGTGAAATCAGTAGAGAGGAGGAATGTTTTGATGATAACAGCTGCAGGACTGGGCAACTGAATGACAGAAAAAGGATCATAGAACCTGAAATCCACATAAGAGTGATTTGAAATGGAAGAGGAAAGTGAGGAGAAAGAACTGCTTTTGGAAAAAATAAGAGTTTAGGGTTGCAGCATGACAGTGTTTAGAAGCTTAGACATGTCCAGAAGGCCACTGAGAATATACAGGCTAGCAGCTTAGGAATGAGATCAAATCAGAGGTTACAGTTCAGGAATTGTCTATGGAAAGATAACAGTTGGAATCTTTCTCTACAAGATTCTCAGATCTATCTGTGTCTCCCTCAGTTCCAGCTGCCCCCACCTTGTTCAAGATCATCATCTCTTACCTGGACTGTTGAAATAGTCCCCAGTATTTCAGGTATACATTCCAATCACATTACTGACTGAAAATAGCCCTTGAGAGAAAAGGAAACATCTGACTTGACAAAAAAAGCACTGCAATATTCCAAGTTGCTTCCAGGGTTATATCTGGAAATGATTTCTGTTCTCTTGCTCTGTAAGTGAGGAAGCAAAGTACTGCCCAAGCTAGCCAGAAAGGTACCTGTATTGGTATGGTATCTTGTGTTTGAATATTGAATGCACAGGTACAGAATCAACCAGCAACCAGGTCAGGCAGACATTCTAGAAACAAACTTGTGCCTGTCAGATTGCAGAGTGTTGCTCACTCTTAAAGCTCATGCATGTGAAGGTTTGGGCAGATTTATCAGTTATTTCAATTAAGAGACTGGAAGGATTTGAATACCAGGACTATTTTGCTCCCAACTGATGCAAATCTTTAAAACATGTGATTGAAATCTGTTCCCAGAATTTTTCACTACAATTTTACTTTGATTTAAAATATATGCATATATATTTATCTTTTTTGTTTCTTGGCAATTTTTGTGGATGATGCTTTTGCCTAATCAAAGAAATCTAACTATAGTGGTCAACTTTTTAGACAGTGGGGATAGGATCTCTTTCACCTCTCATTCTAAAATGGGAGCCTTGGCCTTGTAAGGACAATTCAACACCCCTCAGGGCTAAATTTGATGAATTTAATCTCTTCAAAAAAATACTTTATATGTTTTTCTTTGTAAATTTTCTCTTGAAAGTTTTGGCTTTTTTACAGTATGGGGATTTGAATTCAGGGCCTCATGCTTGCTAAACAGGTACTCTACCACTTGAGCCACTTTGCCAGCCTTTCATTTTTAATTGATACATAGCAATTATACATATTTTTATGGGGTACACTGGATTTTTGTTGTTTTTGTTTTGTTTTATTTTGCTTTTTGAGACAGAGTTTCACTACATAGCCCAGGCTGACCTTGAACTCTCAATCCTCCTAACCCTACCTTCTTAGGGCTGCAATTGCAAGTGTGAACCACCATGCCCTGTAAGTGTTTTACTTTAATACATGTACAATAACGGTAAATGATATGTGGAGGGTAATTCCATATCTGTAATCTCAGACAAACTTATCATTTCTTTGGGTTGGAAGCAGTCAAAATCCTCTCTTTGGTTTATTTTGAAATAACTGTCATCCACCATATTATGGCAGAGACATTAAATTTTCCTCCTTCTCCACCTGCACTTCTCACCTCCTGGCTTCAGTTCTTGCTATTCTTCTCTCTATGAAGGTGTATGTCTTTCCTAAAAAAGTAAGTAACGCAGACGGGAAAAGTGTGGCTCAAGATAGAGGCCACTTTCCAGCGGTGAAGCCCTGAGTTCAAACTCTATCCAACCACAAATGAAATAAATAAAACCCAGAAAAAACATTTGGCTTAAGCATGAGTTATGGTTTCTTATCCTGTCCAGGTAGTGGTAATTGACTCTCAGCCTGATTCTATTGCCTTAAAATGTCCCAGGTGCTCTTTGGCTGTCCAGAGGCAGTTTAAAGAGATAATATACAAACCAAAACAGTTCAGGGTGTGACATTATTGTTATAAAAATATGAGAAAAACTAATTTTATCAATAAAACTTTTTTTCTAGTGTACTTGATTTGAACTCAGGGCTTGTGCTAGGCAGATCTCTTATTGCTTAAGCCATCTCCCGACCCCCTCTCCCACTGTTTTTATTACAAGCACAAGTTATTTGTGATTTACTTGCATAGAAAAAATGAAATAAATAGGAGACTTCAGGGAATGCCTTGCAGTCTTGAACCAGCCCTGGGCCTAAGTAGTGTTGATCTGGGTACCTGTTAGGAAAACACCCATCTTCTACAATTTGCTTGGAAGCCAGCGTCAGTGGTTTGGAGGGCATTTAACAAATGGGAAAGTATGGCTGTCAGGAACACAATGCTGTGGGTTTTGCCCATTGAAAATGGCCTGTTCTTCATCAGGTATACCATGTCATCTAGAGCTGATTATCCAAACAGCAGAGGCTGTGACCAACATGGCCAGCCTCTTGCTTTTGATCCATGTAATCTACTGGCTTGCCCACAAACCCAGTGCTTTAAAAAAAAAAATCATGACTCACCTAAAATGTGATGGCCTGATGAACAAGCTACAAATGCAGTTTGTGTTTCTTTATTTTTTGGTTTATATGTTAGTGTGAATTTGTTGCAGAAGCGCATCTGCAACAGGTGTTACTTCAAAGGAACAACCTGTGTTTCTTGAACAAAGTTAAGAATGAGTTCACCATAAATAATTTCGTACCTGCATTACTAGGCAGCAATTGAAGACTTGCTTGATCTAGGAACCTTCCTAAAACACTTGCATCTGCATTGCCCATGGGTTAATTGTCACAAGCATATTGACCACAGAGGATTAAAATTTATTGTCACCATTTTATGGGTGAGGAAACTGAGGGCACAGGAGAGAAATAACCTGCCTAAAGTCACAGGGTTCCTGCTTTCTAGTTCCCATTGCCTTTATCCAACGTGTGTCTCTGAGAAGCCCTGTTCTTGGTGTTGATTAGAAAAAGTATCTGCACATGTGGCCATAGTGAAAGGGTTTGAGGGGCTGTCTGGGGGGCGCTGTTCCTGAGCCATCATTTCATTATAGCTGGAAAAAGGAGAAAGGCCTAGGATGCGTCTTTCACTGTTCTGTGAAGAAGGCCATCAACATCTGTGATTTTTCCTTTTAAGAGACTTGGACCCTGAGCACTCGGACACAAAACAGTCTTGTGTTCCCTTGGTCTCTGCATCTTTCGGCAGAGCAAGGATGCACTGATCACCTTTCAGAAGAACCAACTGGTTGGGTCTGATGCTCAAGTGTTGGACCGAGGGTCACAAGTTTAAGGTCGTCTCCCAAACTTCTCCAACCTTGGGACCATCCATTTGTCCTTCAGTGAAGGAGGCTGGCTCTGCATGATCTTCAGACCACTCTCAAAATTCTCTTGGTTAGAAAATTCCACATCCTAAATCTCTTAAAATAATAAGTTCTAACTGTCAGCTCTTGCTTGCCTTTTTGGAAAATCCAGGGACTAGACACCAGAAAGAGGAAGGTTAGTGCTCTGAATAATAGCATTCACTCTGTTTACTCCACTATGGCAAAAAAATGGCCTGAGACCCAGGACAGCCACATTTTGAAGGCCATGTAGGCCATATTTCTCCAAGTTCTTTTTTTTTTTATAGCACCCACGTGGAGGTGGATCCGCAGGCATGAGTCCCCAGCCTGATCCTGTCGTTGTAAATCCTAAATGTCTGATCAAAAACAGTTGAAGGAGAATGAGGGAAGCGTAAGAAATTCCGAGTATTTTATCCCTGGCTTCAACAAGTCTTCTGATGGGCATAGTGTAGGCCAAAGTATTTTAACTAATCTTAGTCAGATTGTCATCTTTGGTTCAGAGACTGCTGTTTTTCCTCTTTCTGGGCTGTTTTTGACTTCTGAGTGGCTCTGTATGATAAATTGCAAGTGTTATAAGCTCGTTATGGGAAGAATCATACACAAACTAGTAGAAAAAGAGGCATGTGCATATAGGAACACACCCTTTCTTGGCTGAATCCAACTATCTTAATTCCTTTCCCTCCCACCTGCTGCTGGTAATAAGCAAGCTTTAAGTCATATTTGTTTGTTGAGATAAGTATTTTAAAAGACTAAGTCCAGGGAACTGAATGGCAACTATGAAAGTCAGGCTAGAAAGGGAGACCATTACATTTAGCAAGATTCAGATTATTGAGACAAACCCAAGAAAAAAAAAAAATCTCCACACTGAGCAGGCACAGGTTGTTAGAGCCGGTGTTCCTTCTCTACTGTCGTGCTCATTAAGAGTGGGACGCCAGAGTTGACTTTCTTGGGTCTCTGTCACTACATGCTTGTTGGTTGATTGAGCAATTACTTTACCTGTCTCAATTTTCATCTGTAAAATAAACAATAATGGTACCTAGCTCAACGGGGTGGTTGTAAGGAGATGTCCAAGGAGCACTGAGCACCTGGTTACATGAAGTGTCAATAAATGCTATTAATTAGCATTCTGAGGATGAAGAGAAAAGACTTGTTTCAGATTTGCATAAAAGCTTGTTAGATTTGATAAAAACTTTCACTGGGCGCCACGGAGACTTGTTCCTTCCTGCATGAGCTAATAATAAAGAACCTCAGTGTTTTGATCTGATCGTTTCCTTGGTCGCCCACTCCCTGGGAAGAATGCACAGATGCAGCTGCACAGAAACAGTTTGGGTGACCGCTTCTTGTTCTTTTCTTCTTCAGGTGCTAGAAAGTTTCAAAATCATGGGAACTACAACCTTTTGCTGGGATCCATGTCTTGATCACTCCCCTAAAGAAGAGGAGACCTTCACAAAACGTCCTGATGCAAGGGCCTGGGTGCAGGAAATCCTCTACTCAACAGCCATGGAGTCCATCCAGGCCAGGGAAGCCTGGAGACGGCTTGTTCACCAGAACCCAGACACGTAGTGCAGGCCGCACGCCCCTCCTCACTGTGACAGCCCCATTCACAGGGTATTCTACGATCATGGTCCCCATATGGTTGGCATGTGGACTAGAGGCCTACTTTGGTGCTAATGTGGGTAAGCCAGCCTTCATTGCTGTTCATGGATGGAGACACGTCACCCACAGGCTCCCTGAGTTGCTCTTCCACATGCAAGCTTTCTTTTTTTTTTTTTCACATAGCGCCAATTTTTTTTGTTAATAATGACTGAATTTTTTTGCCACCCTTTATAAACTGCATTATTCAAAACCACTTACCATGGGAGGAAGAATAAACTGTGGATTTGAACACACATGCATTTAAGCAAATCACATAGGGTGATGTGGTAATTCAGTGTTTATCTGCGGAGATTCCTGTTGCCTCAGCCAGATGTAACAGGAACTGCAGGCCGATTTGCATGCATAATGCGTGATTACTGATCAACAGAAAATTACCACCAAAAAGAATTGAAATTGGTTTTGACTCTTCATCAGTTGAGGTGTAAACTTCGCTGAGCAAGGAGACTAAAAGAAAAGAAGTCCACTTCCCCATGACCATAAGGCCTGATTCTAGGAATTCCCCAACCAATGAAATAGTGCACCAGGCACATTTCTCTTTCATAAGAAAGTTAGCACAAATTCAATCTTTTTTGAATCCTTGAGTACAAACTCACTTTAAAAATGTTCAATAACAGTTGAACAAATTAACTATATCTATACGTTAAAGACAGACGCTATAAAAACTTACTCCCATTCAGGCCATAATGGTACACACTTGAAATCCCGTTACTTGAGGGCCAGAGACAGAGGATCTTTTTCTGGCACCACTGGGTTGAACTCAGAACGCTCACGCTTCTAGGCTTGCTTAGCCACTTGGATAGCCTATTTTGGATGTGAGTTTTTCTGAGATAGAGTCTCACAAACCATTGGTCTCGGGCTGGCTTAAACTTGCGAATCCTCCTGATCTCTGCCTCCTGAAGAGTAGCTAGATTATAGGCATGACCATGGGCACCCAGGAGGAGATCTTAGTTGAAGGCCAGCTCAGGTAAAAGTAGCAGTGAGGACCCTGCCTCAAAAAAACAAAATGTCTAGAGGCCATAGCGTCAAGTGGTAGTGTGTTTACTAGTGTGGACAAGGCCCTGAGGTCAGTCCCCAGCCCATTAAAAAAAAAAAGCAACATGTACGTTGACTTATGAGGGAAATGTCCCATCACTTAATAAGTTATAAAATTCAGGTTATAAAAACATGACAAATTAAACTCAATTCCCCTTTAAGATATAAAACACACGCACAATACTAGAAAGTATACCAAATGTGTAATAGTTATCTCTGCATCCTAGAAATGGACGTTTACATAGTATCTATATTTTATATCTTTCGAATCTCACAGTCAATATGAAGATCATATTCTTAAAAAGCAATGTATAGCTATCTTAAACCAAAAATACCTTTTAAAAAACGAAGACAAGAGGTTAAAAAAGTCTTGTCTTGAGGGTTAGCACCCAGTGGGAGGGGAAGGATTTAAGGAAAGGTTAGAGGAGGAATGTAGTAGTGAATATTTGTACTCATGTATGAAAATGGAAAAATGAGACTTGTTGCAACTTCCCCAGGAAGAATGGGCAAGGAGGGATAAAGGAAAATGATGGAGGGGTAAATTCAACTTGTTACATTGTAAGAACCGTTTGTATAATGTCCCAGTGTACCCCCAGTTACTACCAACAATAATATATAATAAAAATGTAAATAAAGAAAAGTACATAAGTTTTTTTTTTTAAAAAGTAGTAAGTTTCTTATGAAAATTTATAAAATACATACAGTGTATCTGGACAAGTTACCTCCTATATTATATTTCCTTAACTCTCTTCCCCCACTTTTTAAAACAATAATAATAAAATATTTGGTGGTTTTCATTGTGTTCTCCATATGTTGAGTGTATTGTATTTAGCCAAATTATACTTGATCCTCTTCACTCCCCAGACCCTTCTCCCCCCCCCCCCCCCCTTTTTTCTCCCCCCCTTCCATGATTTCCCTCTACATGCCCCTTTTTTTACACTCAATTCTTATTATTTATTGTTATGTTTATCATTGATACCTAGATCCACATATGAGCAAACATGCCAATTTCGGCCTTTTTGAACTTGCTTATTTTTACCTCAATATAATGACCTCCAGTTCCATCCAGTTTCCTGGAATGCATAAGTTCATTCGTTCTTTATGGCTGGGGTAACACTCATTGGTATATACACCAACATTTTTCTTTATCCATTCATCAGTTGTTGGGTACCAGCTGATTTTAAAACAGGAATGATTCTTAAGTTGAGCCTCCTTTTACATTCCATTCTTCAGAGTACAGCTATAAATTGTTATGCTCCTTCTGTGGGGAAATACATCATTCGTAGATTCCCAGGAAGAACTTTAAACTGATGGGGAGGTGGGAGAGATGATGATGGAAATTCTTAAAGATAAACTTATTTCGTTTAGCTTTCTTATTCTTCCATGGTAAAAATATTTTCTCTCTTGCTCTATCACAGAATGGAGGATTTCCAGCTAAAAGCCATAAGGAGAAAAGCTTACTTTTATTTATGGGCATTATGGACATCTACATCAGTATAGGTGAGAAATTTGGGGAAATGGTCTTTATTATTTCAAAATTAATCGAACAAAATTGGTTCTGCAAATTTGCCAGGGGAGGGGTTTTACATTTCTATTTCTATGTGTTCCATTAGGTAATGAAGAGTCAGAGCATTCGGAAAGCACTTGTCTTATGACGGAGGGAGTGACATGTACTTTTAAGCTGCCTTACTTCTGACTTTTCAAGAAACTCCCCAAGGAACTGTTGTCCTAGAATTAAGAGAGAGGAACTAAGGCCTTTGTAAAACTCAGAATCTTTAGCACTGTGACAGCGGTTCAAATCTGAGAACAAAGGTCCACATAATTTGAAATAGCTATTCAAATCATTGACATCCAGCGTAGTGGCCTACAGAGAGGCCAGGAAAACACAATGATTGACTGTTTCTGTGTGAAATGCAAAGTTCCTCATTCATGAGCAGATGTGAGGGAAAAAAGAGGAAGGCTTTTACAAAGGAGTTAGGCCGCTGAAATGAGAGTTCTAGAAGCTGAGAACGCTACTAGGGGTCCTTGACTGCCCTGAACTTGTGGAAGACAGCCCTGAGTTTTAAACTCAACCTGGGCTTCTCACTATTAACGAGGTGTGTAATAGTACCCCACCTGTGGTTGAAGGTGAGACAAGGTATAGTTACTTTAGTGGTCAGTTACAATGCCTAACACATGATAAGGACCTGGAAGTGAAAAAGTTTATATTTATGGATTATGTATTTATTATTTATTTACACCATTAACATATGCTGACTGATATGAGATTCATAAAGTCATGTTCTTAACCAAAGAAAAACTCAGTTGCAAAGAGCAACTCTCTCTCTCTCTCTCTCACTCACCCACACAGTCACACACTGTTCACATTTGAACTTCTGCTGTAACAACCAATTTCTTGGCCTAAAAACCTCCCTAGTAAATGACTGGATGTGACACTTCCAAAGAATATATTGATCATGATTTGCCCACCCATTTCCCTTGAAAGGTGTTAGGAAACACTCCTTGGGAAAGGCGAAAATTATAGATGCTATTCTCTTTCTGAAAAGAACACACCATTTTCCGTTCTGTGGAAGACTGTTAATAACTTCCATCATGAAAAGATCTGCAATTCGCCCGTGGACTGAGCAACGACCCTCCTTGCCCTCCCTCACAATGTACTTTAAAACAACAGGGCACAACTTTGTTCCTGAGAGGAAGCCCCAGACTTATTCAGCATCAAAAGAATTTACTATGGAAAAGTTCAAGGTGGAAGTCAACTCCCTGTATAGCATCCTTATTCTTCAAACCAGCAAAAAACCCTTGTTCCTTCCTATTATTGCTTAACTCTCTCTTCAACAAAATTGGAGATAAGGCAAAAATAGTTTCGCCACGGTAGCGAGGGTAGAGGGGAGAGGGAGAGCGGGGAGTAGAGGAGGGGGTGGGGGAAGGGGAAAAATGACCCAAACATTGTATTGCACATAATGAATAAAATAAAAATTAAAAAAAAAAAAAGGAAAAGGTCAAGTGGTAGGTTAATTTTATTCTCCTTCTAGCTGAGAAAGGTAGGAAAAGACATAGCCCTTAAAAGTGAAGGGGAGAGAAGAATTACACCACGATGATTTTCATTCTTTGTCACCAATTTGAGATTCCTGATCTCAATGGCCTCGGCCCATATTGGCTAGATGCCTTCTAAGAAGCCCCACCTTTTTATTTATTTAAAAACATGCCCTTTCTGCTTTTAGTTTTATGGTTTTTAAAAGAAAATCTCTGTGCCATTATTTATTTGTAAAATCAAAGAACATCCAATTTATTTTGGGGTTGTAGCTCTTTAATTAGACAGTGGTTCATACCAAAGACAACATTCCTGCAGTTCCTTTAAAGGCAGGTGCGGGAAGTCTGAGCCTTTCTGAATCCCTCTTTGTCTGCCAGTATTTCTGCAAACTGTATTTGTTATGAGAAGGTGTCCCAACTTCAAGCAGAAGCTGTCCGGATCTAGGAAAAGTGCAGTTACCCCAGGGTAAATGTCCTGCCACATCTACAGCCTCCTTCAAGGCTCTACAGATCATTGTGGATTGGCAGAAGAGGTTCTGCTGTACTGCACCCTTTCCTAACACACTGTTTAAAAATGGCCAGGTTTATCCCAAACTAAGCACACACAAATGCCCCTGTGATGAGGGAACTGAGGTCCTACAACTCTTGTTGTTCCCAAGATCACTTGGCCTTTAAAGTAGAACTCATGGGCGGTAGAATGGCGTCAACTAGGTAGACACCTGCTGAGCAAGACATGGGGGCCTGTGTTTCAAACCCCAGTACCGCCAAAAAAAAAGAAAAACTAAAGTTGGAACTTACCACCAGAACCAGTTTCCATGGACTTTTGATCATTATATGTTTTTTATTCCACCCCCACTGCAGACCCGTTTGTAGTGTCACTTTAAAAACTTCTGAAAATTTCCCTATAAATCCACAAACCTGGATCCAAAATTGCGGTATTGCATGGGCCAAGAAATTTTAACTCTCACTAGAATGTACAGCTTGGATAGTCAATGAAGATTTTACTAAGTGAACATAGAGATCAGCTCCTTATCCAGTCTCTCCGGATTGCAATAAATGACCTTGCAGTTAGCATCTAACTCAGTTCCCCATTCCGTGTGACAGTGAGGTAATCAGTACACCTGGCAGACTTGTCTCCTAGAAGCTGCCTAGCATCTACTCGGCTTTTTTACTTGGAGATAGGTATAGTAAGATAGGTAAGATGGTATAGGTAAGAACTTTCTCAATGAAACCCCACAGCACAGCAACTAAGAGATAGCATAGATAAATGGGACCTCATAAAACTAAAAAAGCTTCTGTTCATCAAAAGAAATGGTCTCTAAACTGAAGGAACACCCACAGAGTGGGAAAATATTTGCCAACTATACATCAGACAAAGGACTGATAACCAGAATATACAGGGAACTTAAAAACACTAAATTCTCCCAAAACTAATGAACCAATAAAGAAATGGGCATGTGAACTAAACAGAACTTTCTCAAAAGAAGAAATTCAAATGGCCAGAAAAACATGAAAAAATGCTCACCATCTCTAGCAATAAAGGAAATGCAAATTAAAACCACACTAAGATTCCACCTCACCCCTGTTAGAATAGCCATCAGCAGCAACACCACCAACAACAGGTGTTGGCGAGGATGCGGGGAAAAAGGAACCCTCTTACACTGTTGGTGGGAATGTAGACTAGTACAACCACTCTGGAAAAAAATTTGGAGGCTACTTAAAAAGCTGGACATCGATCTACCATTTGATCCAGCAATACCACTCTTGGGATATACCCAAAAGACTGTTACTCCAGAGGCACCTGCACATCCATGTTTATTGCGGCACTATTCACAATAGCCAAGTTATGGAAACAGCCAAGATGCCCCAGCACTGACGAATGGATTAAGAAAATGTGGTATCTATACACAATGGAATTTTATGCAGCCATGAAGAAGAACGAAATGTTATCATTCGCTGGTAAATGGATGGAATTGGAGAACATCATTCTGAGTGAGGTTAGCCTGGCTCAAAAGACCAAAAATCGTATGTTCTCCCTCATATGTGGACATTAGATCAAGGGCAAACACAACAAGGGGATTGGACTATGAGCACATGATAAAAGCGAGAGCACACAAGGGAGGGGTGAGGATAGGTAAGACACCTTAAAAACTAGCTAGCATTTGTTGCCCTTAATGCAGAGAAACTAAAGCAGATACCTTAAAGCAACTGAGGCCAATAGGAAAAGGAGACCAGGAACTAGAGAAAAGGTTAGATTAAAAAGAATTAACCTAGAAGGTAACACCCACGCACAGGAAATCAATGTGAGTCAATGCCCTGTATAGCTATCCTTATCTCAACCAGCAAAACCCCTTGTTCCTTCCTATTATTGCTTATACTCTCTCTACAACAAAATTAGAATAAGGGCAAAATAGTTTCTGCTGGGTATTGAGGGGGAGCGGGAGGGGTGGAGTGGGTGGTAAGGGAGGGGGTGGGGGCAGGGGGGAGAAATGAACCAAGCCTTGTATGCACATAATGAATAATAAAAGAAAAATGAAAAAAAAAAAAAAAAAAAAAAGCCAAAATGTTCCTTTAACTTAATTTTCACTCTTCCATTTGGGTCATTTTGTTTATATTAACAATTTTTGTTCATGACAAAGAGTGCCAGCGTTCATTGACACTTGGAGCACTGATTGCCTGTAAGAAAAGAATTTAAAAGTCAACACATACACACACACACTGCTACAAATAAGAATCAGCTGTTTTGATTTGTGGAGTAAAATTCTTTCACTGTCTCTCCCAGCATCTAATGCTCCCTTTTGTCTGGAGTTTCCAGAATTTTCATTCTCATTGAGTCTGTGCCCCCTGCCCCAGCCCCAGCCCCAGCCTCCTGGGCCCCACAGAAACAGACATGGCTCTCCCTAGCTCTTGGCTGTTTCAGGTTGAGGGTATTGCCTACCAGAGAGCCATTTGTGGAGCTCTTTCTTCTGACCTGAGATGAACTCTCTGAGAGGTAACCTGTGGTCTTTGGTTTGTTTTTTCAGGATACTGTTTCAGTTCATAGACCAAGTTTTTATGCAGACAGATTTCTAAAGTTTATGAATTCCAGAGTTTTCAAGAAAATTCAAGGTAAGATTCCTGTGAAAATTTCTTACTTCTACTAACACTTTAGGGCTGACTTCTCCATGCATCTGTGCAAGATTTTTATTGGAAGAGTTGGACTTTTTTCCCTACAGTGGTAGTCACTTAGTAATTATGGTCAGGTATCCCAATCAGTATTGTTGATAACCATTAGTTCTATTTTGTGGTGAAGAAAATTAGACACTGTGTATATGTCCAACCATATATAATGTGTTAGTTAAATTTATTATAGTACAGTCAAATAGTGGAACAGTACACAACCAATAAAAATGAAATGTAGAGGCACAGTTGGTCCCATTAAGTATAGATTTATGCAATCTATGTGGTTATTGTTCTATATACCTTATAAGGCCACCAAAACTCTAGTGAGACATAAAACTATTTACAGGGGTTATTTTCTTGGAATATTTTCTAGAATATATCACGTTAGGCCACAAAACAAGTCCTAATCAATTAAAAAAGATTGAAGTTATACAAAGTATCTTTTTCTATTCTGAACTGATATTTTTATGAGTGTAATTTCTGATAAATGTGTCCAATTGGGGATTATTTACTTGGGATAGATTCCAAGAAAGTATATGAGTATTCAAGAGCACATAACTACACAGAGGACTGGACCGCTGAAGGCTCCCACAGTCTGTATCCTAACAGCCCTCAGTCAGAATTATGCTTTTTAAATTGAGCCACTCTGAGAAGTCAGAAATCTTATCTAGTTCTTTTGTTTTGCATTTCTTGAGTACTGGCAAAGTTTAGCCATTACTCATGTTTATTAGTCATTTATAAGTCCTTTGAGAATTGAGGTTTGTAACATTTGCCCATTTATATTGGGTGTTTATTATTCCAGATGATTTATATGAACTCTGTTCTGTATATTAAAGACATAACTTCCTTTTTCCCTCATTATTCCAAGAAAAACTTTTTTCGCATTGATGTCACTGTCTCAGTGACATCTCCAATTGAGGCCACCATCAATTAAATTGTCTGCCTCAAGTTTTTCTGGCCTAAGATCTCCTCCACCATGTTGGAGACCCTGAGTTTCCTTGCATCCCCCAGTGCGTTTGCAGAGATGTGGCCTTTCATGTCCCAGCCTTAGGAGGACTCTTCAGGAAACACACATACCCATCTTGGCAGATGTGTTTTCTTAGCAGCATGTGAATGAATGTAAAATCAATGACTTCTTCAGTTCCCAAAAAAACACAGCATGTGCTACAAGTTTTCCCAATGTGTATGGCTTACCATGCCTTTTTTTTTTTTTTTTTTGGCGGTGGTACTGTACTAGGGTTTGAGCTCAGGGCCTCACTCTTACTAAGCAAGTACTTTACAACTTGAGCCAGTCCACCAGCCCTTTTTGGGTTGTGTATTTTCAAGATAGGGTCCCACAAAGTATTTGCCTGGGCTGGCCTTGAACTGTGATCCTCCTGACCTTTGCCTCCCAAGGAGCTAGGATTACAGGTGTGAGCCACCAGTGCCCAGCTTATCATGCTTTTAATGTAAGAATCTTTCACTTCTTAAGCCTGTTTTTTTTTTAAAGTGTTGTTAAGGTATAAGTCATATACCATACCCTTTAAATGGTTCTTCGTATGTTCACTAAAATCTAACTTTAGAACATTTTTGTTACCCCATAAAGAAGCCCCATCCTTCTGCATTCCTCCTCTTCCCAGTGCCAGCAGCTACCCCTTCACTTCTATCTGTGATGTTACCAGTATTCCACATTTCATAGAAATCATGTAATCGTGACCTTTTTGTTGTAGCATGTTATCTGTACTTTACTCTTGTGGTTTGGTTTTGTTTTGAGACGGGGTCTTGCTGTGTAGCTCAGGCTGACCTTGAACTCAAGATTCTCCTGTCTCTCAGCCTCTCAAGTGCTGGGATTATAGACATACTACCCTGCCTGGCTACTTTTTAAAATGTATACTACATGGTAAGGGAGGGGGTGGGGGCAGGGGGGAGAAATGAACCAAGCCTTGTATGCACATATGAATAATAAAAGAAAAATGAAAAAAAAATGTATACTACATTTTACTATTCTCAGTTGATAGACATTTGGATTGTTTATAGTTATGAATGCTATGAGTAATGCCGCTATGAACACTGAGGTACAAGGCTTTGTGCGGATGTGTATTTTCATTTCTATTGCACATATACCTAAGAGTGTAAATGATGAATCAGGTAATTACTTTAAAATTTCCAGGAACTGCCAAACCCTTTTCCAAAGAAATAGCACCACCAGCAATATATAAGGGGGTTCCAATTTTCTCACATCCTCATTAACATATGTCACCCTCTGTCTGTTTTGTCTTCACCATCTTAGCATAAATTAGGACCTCACTGTGATTTTGATTTGCAGTTCTCTAAGAGCTAGCAATCTTGAATATCTTGTTGTGTGCTTATTGATGATTTGTATCTTCTTTAGAGAAATGTTTATACAAATTCTTCACCCATCAGTACTTGGGTCATTTGTCTTTTTGTCATTGAGTTGTAAGAGTTCTCTATGACTCTGGACACAAGTCTATTATCAGATATGTAAATTACAAATATTTTCTTCTATGCTATGGGTATCTTTTTGCTTTTTGGATGGGGTCCTTTGAAGCACAAAATTTCTTAATTTTGTTTTAGTCTAGTTCAGAGAAAAAAATGTTAGACTAAGTCCTGAAAATTTAAGCCAGAGTTTTCATTAAGAAGATAAATAAGAGCAGCTGAAGGAAAGGGAAGAGTGTGGTCATGCCACAGGGTCAGGTGGGTGAGCTGGAAAGTAGTCATATATGGATACAGCTAAGTACCAGAACATAAGGCTGGAAATGGGCACAGGACCCCTAGCCCCAGACATGGGTTAGCCAAAGACAAATCCAGGAGTTTCTTTCACAGAAAATTAATAAACCCACAATGCAAACTGTCTTTCAAGATTACCCTGTCAAAATTAGTACCTGAGGATTTAGATTTTCTGCCAGATCCAAGTTATTGTCTGCTAAGTGAGGCCTAGCTTATTCCTTTAAGGAAGAAATTCATCATTTAAGACATAAGTAAATTCTTTCTTCCGGTGCTCTATGGCAGAGGTTTGTTTCCAGGCCCTCTCTGCTCGGTCATGGGTGGTGCTGACTATAAACAAGGGAGAGTTGTTTCTTTTTCCAGGCTTTTGGCTGGAAAAAGGCTAGGTCTCCTGATTGCTGTGCAGTCACGCACTGCTCCCCACCTCACCCGGTTTAACATTCACCCTGGAACAACAGTATAGAAAAGCAATTCTCAAACCTTTTGGTCTTAAGCCCACTTTATAGTCTTAAAAGATTGTTGAGATAACCAAAGAGGTTTTATTTATGTGTAGTTGTCTGTATTTCACATATTAGAAACCTAAATTGAGAAAATATTATAAAATTTATTAATTCTTACCACTTAATAATAAAAAACTACTGTTATGTTAACATAAGTCAGTTTTAACAAAAAAATAAGATTTTAATATAAAAATAATTGTGAAAAATTTTATTTTCCAAAACAAGTAGTGAGAAAAGTGGCACTATTTTAACTTTTCTTCAAATCCCTAATGTCTGACTTAGTGGAAGATAGTTGGAGTCTCACACTGGCATCCAAATTCAGTCTAAAGGGTCTGTATGCCCAGGTCACACAGCATCTGGAAAGGTCTAGGTATGTGTGAGAAAAAGAATGAAAAAGGCCCATAATGTCCCATGTTATGAAAAATAGTCTTAGCCTTACAGACTAAGGTCTCAGGGACCTCTAACAGACCCCAAACCACATCTGGTATCCTCTGACTTAGAAACCTAAAAATACTACATTAAAAGGCAAGATATTATCAAAGCTTATAAAAGTTAGCAGAAGGAATGTTATGGCAGAAGCCGGAGTGGGGATAATTTCTTCAGACCTGTAAAACAAGAGGGACCAGCATTTAATAGAATAGAGACATAAGGAAAATAAGTTCTTTGGTCCATTTAGTTATCATTAAAATCGACTTTAATCAGTTTTTTAAACAATCAAAATCTCCTTTCCGTAAAAAGCAAATTCTAGTTTTATCTTTAACACACACACACACACACACACTTTAACAGAAAAAGGAACACTAAAGAGTTAGAAACTGAAGGAAACAAGAAAGACCCCTGGGGTTCATGCTGTCTGGCTCTGTAACCTGGAGTATCGCACTCTTTCTATCCTCCATTTCTGGGCCTACGAAAGACTTAGCCTCCCTCAGCCGTGTGGATAATTTGAAACAGACAATGTGAGTGTTAGCTTCCAACGCGAAAGCCTAGGCTACAAACCTTATTTAGGATGATGACAATATTATTATGATTGTAAGTCTGCTCAGGGGATAGATAAACCTTCCCTTCCCTATAAGTAGAGAGATCACCCTTCATCCTTCCCTCATTTGTGTGTCCCAAAGTCCTTCTCCAATTAAATTCTTGCAAACAGGAAGGCCCCCAATGAGCACCGTAATCTAAGCTCTGAGATTCCCAAAGCTAAACACAGTTACTCTAATACATTTGCTGTCAGTTTACCCCTTTATGTAAAGCTCCAAAGGAGAAGAGACACTGCCAAAAACAAGTTCAAGGGAAGCATAAAAAGGCTCCGCCTCCCACTCCCCTTCCTATTTCCTCCAAGGACATTCCCTAGCAATATTCACAGGAAGAATTACTGAAGTGAAAAATGAATAGAAATAGGGATGATTCCATTGTAGCTGAAGCAGCTCCCACTGTCAGTCACAGGCTTGGGCACGATGGTTTGGGAAGTACATTTCCATTGGCTCTGGTTCCCTGGGCACTTCTGAAGTTGGAAAATGCTGTCTAGACAAGATGGGGAGTGAATTATACATCTGACACAACCATGACCTTGAGAGAATCCTAGAAAGGACTCTGAGCTTTCAGGGGAAAACACAGAAAGAAAAAAGCATCCAGAAGTAACTTGGCTAGCATGGGCAACATGAGTACAAGATGAAACATTGGCATGTGTAGAAAGTTCCAGTCCCCAGTTAACAAAGCTGGGGTCATGAGAATTCTCCAGACTCACCATCTGCATTTATCAACTCAGTCAGCCTCCTCCCAGCACTAGGAAAACAATGTTTGGAGGAGGAAAAATATTTCTTTAGTAGGAAAACATGAAGTTCACCTCAAATAAGACTATTTCAAAATACGGAGAGAAAATTCCAACTTGAATTTTTTTCTAGGATATTTTTATTGAGGTCAGGTCATTGTGCACAAAGAGTTTGGCCAAAGCACAGAAAATTTCATCTCCTCGCTGTGCCTGCGTGTGTGTGTGTGTGTGTGTGTGTGTGTGTGTGTGTGTGTAAAATGAGGCTTTTGCCTTCTTAAATGATGACTAAAATGTTAGTAAATAATAAATAAAATATTAACTTAAAAATATGAATCCCATTTTACAAGGTTCTTTGGGAGATTTATTTGTTTTTGAGATAGGGTTTCCCTATATAGCCCAGGCTGACCTTCAACTCCAACTGCCCCAGCCTCCAGAATGCTGGAATCACAGGTGTACACCACCAGTCCCGGCTTTTACAAGTATTTTTATTTGTCTCCTTTTTCTTTTCTGCCTAGCTTTGAAGGCCTCACCTTCAAAGAAAAGATGCAATTCCATTGCCGCCTTAAAGGCGACCTCACAGGAGATCGTGTCCTCAATCAGCCAAGAATGGAAGGATGAGAAACATGACTTACTGACAGAAGGACAGAGTTTTAGCAGCCTCGATGAAGAAGGTAAAGACTGTAGTTTTAACAAAAAGAAAAATTCTAATGACTCATTAATATAAGTAATGCAAATTCACAGTAGAACAACTAGGAAATACCTACTCTAAGAGATAGTCCATCAATTAAATTTTAGAGAATGTCTATAATAATAATATAAACAGTACAATAATATAAACAGTAGTTCATATTATATAAATATAATATAAACAGTAATATAAGCTGTTTATATAATAATATAAACAGTAGTTTATGGGAAACATTAGAAAACACTAAAATATTCAAAAATAAAATAAAACTATAAATTTATAAGTCCACAACCTGATGGTAACAAATACTAACATTTTCTTATTTTCATTTCTAGACTTTGTTCTATGCATGTACATATATTTACATTCATGCATATGTATCCATGTACATAAATGATAGGTTGTCTCTTCAGTTATTTTGATCTTCTTTGATGAATTTAAATAAAGTTTTATAGTATTCTCCTTGATTAGCACAAATTAAGATTTATCCCTTAGATAAATAAAGAGAGGTTGACATAGATGTACATTTTCTGTCTTTTAAAATAGCACCTTTTCTTAAGAACTGGGTGTTCTGACTATTTGTTGCTACTACATATATCACATCTTTTTTCTCTCATAGTTGCTGGCTAGGACTTCTGGTACAAGGATGACTAGAAGTGGTGTTTGTGGGCAGCCTTGCCTCCTCCTCAGTTTAAAAGGAATGCTTCTAACATTTCACTGTTGAAAAAGCAGTGTGCTGTACTTGGCTCCCATAGTCAGGTCAAGGAAGTTCCTTTCTCTTCCCTAGTTTGCTAAAAATTTTTACCAAGAATGAGTACTAAAGGCAGGTACTCTGTCTCACACTTATAATCCCAGTTGTTTGGGAGGCAGAGATCAGGAGGAGCATGGTTCCAGGCCAGCCAGAGCAAAAAATTAGCAAGACACTATCTCAACAAGAAAGCTGAGTATGCTAGATCACTGTAATGCCAGCTAAGTGGGAGGCAGAAGTAGGAGGATCACTGTCCCAGGCCAGCCACCAGCAAAAACACAAGATCCTGAAAAATAACTGAAGCGAAAAAGAGCTGAGGGCATGTTTCAAGTGCTAGAGTGCCTGCCTAAAAAGTGCAAGGCCCTGAGTTCAAACTCCAGTACCCAACACACACAAAGAGTAGTGAGTTTTAGTAAATATTCTTCTCTGTCAACTGAATTGATCATTTGATTTTTCTCTTCTAATCTAATAAGACATTTTAGATCTTCCTATCATTGTATCCTTTTGAGAATCCCAACATTTCCTACAGAAACAAGACCTGTACTTCCTATAGAAGTAAAACCCTTCATAGGGGGTTTCTTTTCTTCAGCGTGGTCAGCCTCAGCTGCCGTTCCTACCCTGTGGCATTTATCCACTCGTGCTACTCTAGTTTCTGTGGTTCTCATCCTGTCATAAACCAGCTTATGTCCAGAGCTAATGGTTTCAACAAAAGAGTTAACAAGTTGCCCCATATCCTGGCAGATACTCGTCCTCTTCCCTTGAGCTGACTGCAGCATGGTCTACCCCACCATGCTCCCTGGTTTTCTGAAAGCACTCAGAAAACTGCAGGTGTCTACAGTCTGGAAAGTACGACAAACTTATTTTTAAATTATATTAGTTAAACTTTAAAATAGAATATGACCACTAAAGTTTAAGCAATGGCTCCATTTGTTAATCTAGGGGGGGAGGAAAGTACAATAAATATACAGCATTGTACCCAGGAAGTCTGGAAATTTGGGGAGTAGTAAGCCTGTGGTGCTTTTTTCAGAAGAATTACTGGCTTGTGCTTCAAGTTCAGAGACACTGTACTGACAAGGTCTCTGAAGGTCAGAGATAACCCTATAGAGCCTATTCTTTGAAAATGTACCCTACTATTACCAAATGAGTTTATCTTCACAGTCTTCTTTAGGTACAGGTTTGACCTTCGTTAGCACTCTGTATTTGAGGACTTCTTTCAGAGTACTCGAGTCATTCCCACATTTCCTCTAGTTTTTGGCCATTTGTTTTCTGCATTCTCAGTATGTCCACATTACATTCCTTCTCTACTGCCCTGTAACAAATTACCACAACCGTAGCAACTTAAAATAATACCCATTGATTAGCGGGCAGTTCTGTAAGGGAGAAGACAGGCTAGTTCTTTACACAGGACCTCAAGGCAGAAATCAGGTTTCAGCTTCACTGAGTTCCTATCTGGAGATGCCTGAAAAGAATCCTCTTCTGGGTTCATTCATGTCATTGGCAGAATTTGGTTCCTTACACTTATTGGGCTGGGTCCCCTCTTCCATGCTGTCTGACATGCTCAGTCCCCTAGGGACCATGCCATGGAGGCTCCTCTGTCTACAAACAGAAAATTCCTTCCCAGTCAGTCCCCTTAACATTTGGACTCCCTGATTGTCTCTGACCTCTAGGCCCAGATTTAAACAGCTCATGTGATTAGGTCAGGCCCCTTGGATCATCTCCCCTTCACCTAACTCAAAATTAGTCCACTCAGAGTAACCTGAATTACATCTGCAGAATCCCTTTTCCCAGATTGTTTGGAATAATCACAGGAGTGATATCTCCTCAGATTCACAGGTCCCATCATGCTCAAAGGGAGAGCAAGCAAGAGTGAGGGTCCATCAGGAATCATGTTAGAATTCTACATCAGTTTTATAAAGAAACTGAAGGATATAGGAAGATAAAGAAGTAATCCCTTCCTTCAAAGAGCTACTCCTCATGGAAGGGGGGTCAGCTACTCAGTACACAGATGAAGTGTGTCCTGGGCAAAGGGACTTTTGCCCAGATTCCACTGGAATCTAATGTCAGGTTATCTTTAAAACCAAGCTTTCATATTTTCTCTCTATTTAATGGGAAGTCGGGATTGAGTATATTGAAGATTGCTAGCTGGCATTTAAAATTGAAGCCTTTCTCATGTTTGAATGTGGAGCACTTTGGCTAATCATGTTTTTATTCATTTATAAACTTTTTGGTGGTACTGGGGTTTTGAACTTGCAGTACTGAGCCTGGCACTTGCTCTGTCACTTCAGCCATGCTTCCAGCCCTTTTTGCTTTAGTTATTTTTCAGATAGGTTCTTATGTTTTTACCCAGGGCTGGTGTAGGACCATATTTCGCCCCCAGTGTAGCTGAGATTACAGATGGATGTACACCACCATGCCCAGCTTATTTTTTAGATAGGGCTTTTGCTAAGTTTTTTGTCCAGGCTGGCCTTGAACCATGATCCTCCTGATCACCTGATGTCCTTATCTCCACCTTTCACACACCTGGGATTACAGATGTGTGCATGCCTGGGTTATTCATGGTTTAGAAGCAAAGTCATCATCCATACCGTTTAGTGTGTTGTCTGGTCCTAGACCAAAGTCCATCCTTTCCTGTCCTGGCCCCATTTTCCCTCCATGCCTGTCTTTACCCCACCATACACACTCCTTCACATCCAAAATTCAAGGATTGGAGCATCCCTAATTATGCACATGGCCCTGAGTTCAAGCCTCAGAACCAGGAAGGAAGGGAGGAAAGGAAGGGAGGGAGGAGGAAAGGAAAGAGGGAGGGAGGAGGGAAGAAAAGAAGGAAGGAAGGAAGGAAAATAAGTCAAATTACTATATAGTGTCTGTTAGGATCATTTTCTATTTACATACTGAAAGCACATGATTTTGAATCCCTTGTGTCTCTCAAGCAATGCCAGATGCACCTTCAGGTTATATTGTATCTATTACCATCTGGTTTAGTTCAGTTTGAAGGTAAGATGTTTGGTTAGACAGCAGGAAGGTCAAATTACCCATTAAAAAAATCAGCCTGGCTAGAAACGTCAACACAGCAACTCTCAAGGCTACAACACGATGATGTAGAAACTACTCCAGGAATGGGGAGGCAGGAGGGTAAAGGAGGATGATGGAGCTGGTGAATTCAACTATGATATAGTTAATATATTATCAGAACCTTTGTAAATGCCACAATGTACCCCCACCTAGCACAACAATTTAAAAAAAATGGAAAAAAAAAAAAAGATAAACCACATAGATTCCAGAGAGATGGGCGTGGGACACTGCTGAGCATTCCTCTTTCCTGACAAGGGAAGGCTCTTACATAAGTGTTCTCTTGGTTCATAAAATTTAAAAGAGAAGGAAGAGTTTTCTCACTTTTATGAAGGTACCTTACTGTTAGAACGTAATGTCAAGAGCAGCTTTGATCACATTGAAAGGTATGGACGGGCTCATACAGGACTGAGGCACAGAGGACTACTGCTCTGTTGAGATGCTTCTTTGCTGGCCCTTAAAAGGTCTGCTTGGGTCTAAACTGAGTCATTGAGGCATGCATCTCATGGGGAGCGCAAAGCAGGTCTCTCTCTTCTGTACTCTGCCAGTCATTCTTTCAATGTCTGTCAGATCACCCTTAGGCTCCAAGGAGCTTTTATGTCATCTTTTTAAAATAGTAAATCACTTCATTAGGTTTTTAAAAGAACATTCCTAATGTCATTTCCAGAAGCCATTTTGTAAATGAATGCCATTTCCCCTCTGCTTAACCTGTTTGCCAGCAGTATTTTACATTTCTGCCGTAGTTCAGAAGAGCACAGTAAATTCATAATTTCGTTTGCAGTCTGATAGATAAAATGAAGGCTTTTGACTCATTTAAATATCATAGATACTAAAGCAGCATGTGTTACTGAGACTCATGAGTGTGTGTGGCTCTCGTTCCCCAGCCCTGGGATCCCGACACAGGCCTGACCTGGTGCCTAGTACTCCATCGCTCTTTGAAGCTGCTTCTTTAGCAACCACAATTTCTTCTTCTTCCTTGTATGTTGGTGAACACTGTCCCCACGACAGGACTACGCTGTATTCAAACAGGTAACACTTAACACAATCAGATACCAATCAGACTGTCACTGTGTCAACCTCAGGCCTAAAGCAGTGTCTCTGAGTGAGGATATGTTGTCGTTAGCAGTCAGGATTTGCCTGTCCCCTTCCTCGCAACTAGCGGAGGACATGTTTGACTTTTATTGTGGCAAACATACGTTTGAGGGAAAGTCCTCCTGTTTTTCTTTTACAGCTCATCATTATGTCATGATGTAGAAATTATATAGTCAGCCTTGACTGTATGGAAGAAGACAAATCTTTTGTCATTTTTATTTTAGCAGTTTCTGTGCATAGACTTTTTAAGTTGTGAGTATCAGTGAATGTTACACAGATAGCTACCAAAACGTTTTCATATTCTCTTTTGTATGTGTGATCTTAGCAATTATAGTAAACAGAATAATAGCCCCTAAAATTGCCCATCTAGTTCCTGAACCTGTGAACAAAAAGGACATTGCAGATGTGATTAAGAATCCTAGGTCTAAGAGTGTAGCTCAGTGAGAGAGCATGCTTAGTATGTGTGAGGCCCCAAATTTGACCTCTAGCACCAAGAAAAAACAACAACAACAAATAATATCTGAAAATCTGGCCCAGCCCCATGCACCTGAAAGTCCTCACTACTTGGGAGACTGAATGTAAGGATCCAGGAATTCAAGATCAGCCTGGGGCTACATAGTGAATTCCCATGGCATTAAAAAAAAAAAAGAAAGCAAGAAAAGGAATCCCAAAATGGGAAGTATACCCTGAATTATCCAGCAAGGCCCAATATCATCACAAGGTCTTTATAAGAGGAAAATAGGATGATCAGAATTAGAGAAAATATGACAACAGAAGCAGATTCAGAGAGAGAAGGACTTAAGGATGCTATGGTGCTGGCTTTGACAATGGAGGAGGAGACATGAGCTGAGGAAGGCAGGTGTAACCTAGAAACTGAGCAGGATAAGAAAATGAATTCTCTGCTAGAGCTAGAGTTTCACAAAGGAACACGGCCCTGCCAGCAGATTAAATTGTAGGACTTCTCACCTCCAGAGTCGTGAGATAATAATTTGTGTTGGTTTAAGCCATGAAGCATGCTATTCATTACAACAGCAGTAGGAAACTTACACAGTGACTCTCAAATAGTTAATGTGAAGTAAGTACTGAAGAAGGTTGCTAAAATGTCTTAAGTAAAAATGCAGTTTGTTATTTGGCGGTATTCCTTTTTAAACAAAATATTCTTCAGTATTGGTTCTAGTGGTAGAAAATGACATCCTTACAAAGAAATCACAACATTATCTGTGGGATTCACTGTTTTATTTTCTGTTTTTACATGTGTATCTATACAACTATCTTCAGTTCCCGGAGAGGTACTAATAGGTGTAGGTTCTCAATAATTAACTGTCAATGTTAAACTAGATCGGTAGTCACTGTCAGTCTGGAGAAGTAAGGTAAGTGGCAAGATGAGTCACAAATCTTAGTTGGGCCTGACTTTGGATTGTTCCGCTTGCAGGACCAACAAACAAGAAGGGCTCCATATAAATTATATAACTTTCCTGAACTATATAAAAGTAATTTTATCTGGTCAACCTGCTTGGATTGAAGGAATTTAAACTGACTTAATGTAATTCCTAATATTAATATGTAATTCAGTGTTCAAATTTGGCAAAGCAGCAGTTTTTCCTATCTGTATGGTACAGCCAAATACACAGGTCTAAAGAAAGGTCTTTGTTCTCAAGTATAAATGGCAGTTCAAAAGGTCTCAGGAAGTTCTCAGCAAGGTCAAGAGCAGTCCTCATGGGATGACATGGTACCTGCTTACAGTTTGCTACTGTGATTATTATTAGGAGCGTATCATTAGATATGCTCTTAAATCATTTACTAAAATTTCCAGCATGAAAATAATAGCATTTTTTTGGTAGTAGTATGAGCAGGGGGTGTTGTTGTTAAGTGTCAGTCTTTTGACCAGAGGTAATAAACTCCCGGTATTGAAGGTCTCCACGATCTGGCCTCCTCCTGACTCCCAGTCTGTCCTGGCCAGACTGGAAACTACCTCTGCCTGCTCCCAGAGCTATGCTATAATTCTGGGTTCTTTCCTTTGTGCTGATGCTGGCTGGCACGTAGATTTGAATGATGGAAATAAAAAATAGTGAGCTGTCTGTGATATTCTTCCCTTTCTTTTGGGAAGTGAATTGTTTTTAAATAAATCTTTGATGTTGTAATTTGATATCTTATATTTAGCTATCAGCCAGGGTTCACATACAAGATCAAGAACCTACTCCAACCAGGCATGATGGCACACACCTGTAATCCCAGCACTTGGAGGTTGATGAAAGAGGGTTGCAAGTTGCAGACCAACCTGGGCTACATAGGAGGACCCTGTCTCAAAAAGAAAGGAAGAAAGGAAAAGAAAGAAGGAAATAAGGCAGGGAGGAAGGGAAAGAGGGAAGGAGAGGAGAATGGAGAGAGAGGAAGAAAGGAGGAAGGAAGGGAGGGAGGGATGGAAGAATAGAGGGAGGAAGGAAGAAAGAAAGAAAGCAGAAACTACTCCATCTGAAGCAGAAGGGAACTGAGTGCTTACCAGGTGTATGGAAAGACGGATGGAGTGGACCCTGGGCCACATTCAAGCAGGTGCCCTGCCAATGGAAGGCACCCAGAAAAACAGCATTCCCTAGAACCCAGAATGTTCTTAAAATGAGCCAAACATGGAAAAATCAAGCAGCTTCACTGAAATCCCCAGATTCATTTGAAAAATCAATAGTTTTGACACCACTTGGCCATTTTCTCCTGGCATTTATCAGCTAGAGGGCAGAACCCTGGGACCTCCAGGTCACCATCCTCCACTTCATTCTTCTGTGCTGTCACCTGGTTGCCACCATCAATGTTTCTGCTTCTGTCTTTGATGTATAGGAGAAGCTGAAAGATGCACCATTTCCTTGGGGAAATCATAAGGAAAGGAGAGGTTTGAAGAGGCTACAAAACCCTGAAGAAAAATGATAGCCCAGGAATTCCTGGGAGTCCACACACCTATTTCCCTGACCCGCCATGCCCAGCTATAGTTATTCCCCAGGAGAACCTCACCAGCAAACTATAAAAAAATTGTCATACTTTTGTTCCCGTCAATTTTAGTGCCCTACATGGTGTTTCTAGAGGCAGTAAGTAGACATTATTCTAAGTCTCATCTGGCCCACTGAGTTTTAAACCTAGCACAGACAGCCTGGGAAGAAAATGCATTGCAAAAGAGAAAAAAGAAAATGCGTTGAATATTGATGTTATAATTCCCATGTGATTTTTCTTTTTATCTATGAATCATTTTCCTATTTAGACAAAGTGATCTGTTTTCCCCTTTTGACATTATGCCATACATATCAGTGCTAAAATAAGCATAGGTATTTCAACTAGCAGCTGTCATTCTCTTAGTCTCTTTAGATTTCTTGATTTTGCAAGGTATTAATTTGCACCTAGATAGCTCCACACCTAAATTATATACTGCAGTGGGAAACTGCTGTCTCTTACAATTCTTTCTTTTTCTTTGCAAGGATTATTCTTTATAATTTAAAGCCCCCAATGTCTCTTAGAATACATTCCTTTTTTAAAGCATATTCCAAATTTTGACTAGGAAGCAAATATAAAAGTATATATTTAACTTGCTGGTTGGGAGTCCACAGTTTTAAGTTCCACTATCCAGTCATGGGTTTAGAGCGTGAAGATTACAGGAATAAAGAGAAACTGTCATGGGCACATTCTTTGCAGGCAAATAGTGGATTGAAGTTCTAAAATTTTGATATTTAAGTTTTTCTTTCTAGCAAGAGTTTGTTCTTTTAAAGGCAGTATAAATTGAGCACTAAGCAGTAGAAAGGCAAATGTGTTTTATCTCAAAACTAAAAGCAATTCAACTCAGTGTTGTAGAAGTGTCACACACATGAATATTCATGCTCTTTGTGATTCCCTGCACAGTTGGGAGTGCAGCTGAAGGTCTGTTTATGTGTGAGGATTGAAAACCCATTTGGTCCCAGCACATCTGTGTTCTCCCCGTCGAACATGTCCTCACAGCAGTGAGTAGCCAGTCTTGTGTTTTGCTGGTGGCTATTTCTAACAGCCAGCTCTCCTGGAGACATTTGGAATTTAATGAGAAGGACAGATGTATCAGGAAAAGCCACTGGTCATTTGCACATGGAAGAATACCTGACAAAGGCACCCCAAGTGATGAGTGCAGCATCAAGATCTTAAGGCTGAGCCGGGCACTGGTGGCTCACACCTGTAATCCTAGCTATTCAGGAGGCAGAAATCAGGAGGACCAAGGTTCAAAGCCAGCTGGGGCAAATAGTGTGAGAGACCCTTTCTTGAAAAAAAACACATTACAAAAAAGAGCTAGTGGAGTGTCTCAAATGATAGGAGCACCTGCCTAACATGTGTGAGGCCCTAAGATCAAACCCCAGTACTGCCAACAAAAACAAAAACTCTCAGGCTGAACTGGCAGATCTGACAGCAGTCCTGCACCCCTTCTTTCTGCATTGGGATGGTGAACCTAGGAGAGGAGTGAGCAGTTGCCTCTAGCCACAACCCCCTCTCCACAAATTGCTCACTACTTATATGAAAGACACCAAGTAGAGCTGTCCCAAAGTAGGTAGGTTCACAGGAGACTTTACTGCTGATAGTATGAATGAAAGTTGGTTGCAAGGACTTCTAAGAGATTCCAGTTTTCTAACCCTAACTCTTAACAAGGGGCAGAGTATACTGCAGTATCTGCTGTGGACACCACAGTTACCTGCTGTTGACACTGAATATTGAATCCAGCCTCCCCAGATTCTTTGGACTTTTATACTTCTTAACCAGGTTACTCCTGCCTTGCAGACAGACCTGCTTACCCCCACCACCTCATCCGTTTCTCTTGCTCTTTCATTATAGTAAATCATCACTCAGGACTTTAGCCCTCAAACTGCTACTTTTCACCATTCAACATTGGGCAAGTTATGTTATTTTTATATGCCACATTTTACAAATACATTATTGTACTC